AAAAATATTTCACAGTATTATTATTTTTTACTGGTTTTGATCAGATAAATGCAACCTTGTTGAGCTTAAGATAGTTCTTTCAAAAACATAATTAAAAAATCTTACCGACCCTAATCCTTTTAACAGTAATGTAACACAGCTGGTGTTCATCAATAGTGGCTAAAAATATTTAAACTGATCAAGTTACAAACAGTCCAGGAACAAATGACTTGGGATCAATACGTAGCTGCTGGGGATCAGAGAAACTCATACAGTATAAACTTACATCATTGATACAGCAAACTGTACAAGAGTTACTGAGTGCTATGTAGCTACTGTACTGCCCATATATAACCCTCTGGCTCAGAACAGGAAGTACTTTACCTCTTGTTGTTGTATGGTTTATTTTCACATATCTCTGGTGACAGGTAGTAAGGTGTGCCAATACATGTCCTCGCCAACTCCACGGTGCTGCACACACAACCACATTACATATGAAGGTAATTCCTTGTGCTGTTTTAAAATCAAATCGAAATACTTGCCTGTTCAAAACTCTAGCGATTCCAAAGTCACCCAGCTGTATGGTACCATCTTTGGTCAGAAAAATATTCTTGATAGAAAACAAAAGCAGAAATCATGTATGAGGCATATGTAAACCAAGTCTAAGGATATTGTACATTATGCTGCATTCCCATATAGATTTTCAAGGTTTAAGTGTGTGTGTGTGCGAGAGAGAGAGAGAGATAGCGGTACCTGTGATTTGATGTCCCTGTGTAGGATTTTGCGGTCATGTACGTGTTTCAGAGCCAGGCAGATCTGCACAAACCAGTCAAGAATCTTCCAGAAAACAACAGACAGGGATCAGTATTTCAGATTATAACATTGCAAGTTTATTCTTGAGGTTAAAATGTTTTTTTTTGCTAACATTCAACAACTAAGAATATTTTATTATGTTATGATAAAAGAAATTCAAAGTTTACATAATTTTGTTTATTATTTAATGGTATATTAAGTTGCATTTGGCTGGTCCAATGTTGCCATCCCCATGGGGCGACCCACTCTATATAGAATAAAACAGGTTAGCAGCTGGTAAGACTGGATACTTCATCTCATATAAGTGCACATGACTCTAAATAGATTTTTCATAGGTACCATTCACTTTTGTAGGAGTGAGAAAAAAAAACTTTAAAGCTTTGATAATTTGTGGCCTGTTAGGTGTGGAGCTCAACTCGATGTCTTTATATTGTTCCTCGTACCTGTTCTTCAGAGAATAGAGTCCCTCTCTGATTATTGATCTTCTTAAACAGGTCTCCTCCCTCACAGTAGTCCATCACTATGTACAAACAACCACTCTCTGAAGAAAAAGAGAGAAACATTACTGTACTTCAATGACAAAGTAACAGCAATGTTTAAACAGTAAGATTTTTTTTAAATCATAAAAAGCATGCATTAAATTTATCAAAAGTGACAGTAAACATATTATGTTACAGAAGATTTATATTAAAAAAGCTGTTCTTTTGAACTTTCTATTCAACACAGTAACTTGAGAAAAGTATCACATTTTCCACAAAAATATATTTACTGCTAATAATAACAAGAAATGTTTTACAGTAAATCAGCATATTAGAATGATTTCTGAAGGGTCATGACAATGAGGCTTTTACAATATATTAAAATTAATTTTAAAAAAAAGTACAATATATTAAAAAACAGTGATTTAAAAATTTAATAATATTTCACAATATTACTGCTTTTAGGATATTTTGTTGAAATAAATGTAGAGCATAAGAGACATCTTTCAAATACATTAATGTTACAAACTTTTGGATAGTATTGTATCTGTAAAGTATGTGATTAAATCAGATTGAGACTCTTAGGTTTCACTGTAAAATTAAATTGGTATTAAGCAGACATAACGTCCTCTATTGCTAATATCATTAACATTCATTCACCACCCCAGATTTATGTCATTAATTAGCTTGCCATCCAGATGTCAGAGATACTGCTGCTGCATGACTTGTAGAGAAACTATCATTAGCTCAACGACATCCTCTCTGTAATTTAATTCAAGAGCTTGGAGCTCCTCCAGATCATGCAGACTGCCCGATCTATCAACCAGACACAAGCCTTTAGAACGGAAATGCAGTGGGTCTGGTGTGTGCCGGAACTAATGTTCTCAGATTAATCAAGATCGGTTAACTTAAGACCAAAGACTTTAGATACCCGTTTGTCATGCCTGTCGACATAATGGCAGAGATGGGCAACGAAGCATCATATTCCAATATTACTTAATACACATTTCTGAATATGGATGTCTCGGTGTCTGAGGGGGCTTTGCCTTCAAAGGACTCCTTGTACTGGACGATGTTCGGATGGCTCATGTTAGCCAGAACTGCCACCTCTCTGCGTGATTCTTGCCTTTCTCTGTTCGACATCTGATGAGAAAAAGAATAGTGCACACATACATAGGAAGATCCGCATCAAATATATTATATCTCATCATTTTGAAACAATTAGATTTTTATTAACTGAAATACTTACTCAAAAGTTCAACTCAATTAAATGATTAACTCACCCTGGAGATGCCAATCTCCTTGATAACATATTGTCGGCTGTCTGTCCTTGACTTGACCAGGATGGCTTTCCCAAAGGATCCCTCCCCAATTTTCTTCAATCTCTCATATTTATCCATGTCTGTGCAAATTACTTCTCATGCTGAGGCAGAGGGAACAGAACACATAAAATTAGGATCACCAGTGAAACAACACTAGGATTTTTAAAAAGTTTTTAAAAAAAATTTACAGAACAAATATTATCACTCTCTCTCTGAGGATATGTAGATATAGATATATAGATGATATGTACATAATGTAAAAAATAAATAAAATAAATAAATAAATAAATATATATATAGAGAGAGAGAGAGAGAGAGAGAGAGAGAGAGATAAGATAAGATAGATACAAAAACAGATATATTTTCATAGGTGAACCAAATATATTGTCTGATAGCACTCGAACAAGCAACTGACATATTCCTTTATAGGTGTGGCATTTTAAAAGTCACATTCAGCTGTCATCTACTCACAATGCCAGCAGGAATTATTAAAAAAAACTGGAGCGGAGCACCTCCTGATGAGTGAAAGGTTCATATTTTTTTCCACACAGAATCCAGCTGCATAATGGGAATCATTACAACTGCCACCTGTCCTAGATGAGGCAAATGCAGACTGCATTTTTAGACAAACTAGTGGGACACTAGAATTAATAACAAATAAAGCCTAAAAGCAATACAGCCTTGGACGAATGCAAAAACTAAGCCAAACTAAAAGCAAAAGCCAGTGTAGGAGAGCTTATGAATTAAATATGACATGTCAGGAGGAATTACCCACCACTCTTTAAAAGAGGTAAGGGGGTACAAAAGGAGAGATGTTAAAAGAAAGAACCAGATGGACAGAGAAGGACCTTAAGATAGCAATAAATTAGATTAACCTGATGAAAGTTCTGTCGTCCAATAATAATGAATCACAAAGCAGACAAAACATAGAAACTTACAAGATCTTCATTTAAATAACAAACCAGGACAAAAACAGTGGCACTACTAGAGATATGGCGAGATGTGGATTGACTTACATTCTAATATCTACAACATTAGTTTTTTACAAACAAGATTTGTTATGCTGCTTTATGTTATTCGGATAAAAGCATCATCACATGAACACTGAATTGCAACGTTTCAAAAGCATAATGTCTCATTTAGCGGGGCCTGAAACGGGTCTGCCCAAACTAATGATAATACGCTACTAAATGCACGCTAATGAAAACCGCGAAGAGAAATTACTAGTCTTACTGGCAACCCGCGAAATGACACTGACATGCACTTTAAAGCAGAGTTCTGCAATATATATTGCATAAAAGACACAATTCTGCAAACGAAATCAGTTTTTACCTTCTTTATTCAGAATAGTCCGCGAGCATTGGCAGCATCAAGACAGCTCACATGAAGATTTTCTGAAGTGGGCGGTCTCATGTGGGAAGACGGCACACACTGACTGAGAAGAGCGATTTGATTGGTCCGCGCTCAAGTTGAGTCTCAGGTGATAGGGTGAAAAACACGTCAGTCAAAACTCAGTGCCTTACGTTTGTCTGTCGCTGTTTGGCGCAAAATTCCACCCTAGCAACCGTCACCGGTTGGAGCCACTTGGTCACTTTCCGCTTTCATGGCCGTAAACTGAAGTGCTTTTGAAAATGAAAAGGCAAAAAGTTATGGTGCACTGCATTTCTGAATTATAGAGCATTGTTGTATTTTTTATTTTTATTTTTTTTATTATTAAAAGTTTTAATTAATTTTATTATTATCATTTTTACTGATATTTATGTGTATTGTTTATATTATTATTTATAATAATAGTGATAACAACAACAACAATTATTATTTATATTATTTTAGATTTTAGATTGTTATTTAGTTAGCTATTTTTATTCCATATATTTCCACATTATTTATTAGTTATTTGTTGTATTAATATTCATTATTTTTTATATTATTATATTATAAAATATTATAAATTATATTATATATAAAATAATATTAAAATATATATATTTAGATTTTAATTATTTGTTTATGTTTTAAGATTCTGTTAACTTACTATTTTATCGTGGTTAAAACCTTTGTTACTCATAAGCAAAAACAATCTCGAGGGGGCTTTTTCTTAAAAATATTTATTTACTATAAAAGTAATTTAGCTGCTTTCTTCTGATTCCAAGGGATGAAGTGATGTGCATGTGTAGCTGTTAGAATCAAGCAGATAAATACATTAAAATGCGTTATTATTTAGTCAGTACATTTAGTAAATAAATACATTAAAATGCGTTAGTCCCCCCGCCTCGAGTTTCCTCTTCGAGATATATTGCTTTGATTTCTCTCAATATGGTCTTTGAGTTAATATTAATTTACCGATATACTTTATACACTGATATTTATACTCAGTGCGTTTGGCTCCACCTATCGGCTCACCGCGCGCAGTGCACTCAACATGGCGGCACCCGTTCCTTCTGTACCACAAGTTCACATTTAGCAACAACAACAACGTACGGTAGATGATATTATCGATATTTAACGTGAGTTCGATATCTTGTCGTCTAAAAGCCTAAAGCCTGTGCCGTTAAACCAACTATAATTGTGCTTTGTCAAAGGATCTCTATGGGATGTTGCTCATTGTCAGTGGCAATTATATATGAGTGTTTTTGAATTATATTGAGTGAACATGCAATAATTTCTGCTCTACAATTTGCTGTATTGATAACTTGAATGTCAGATACTACCTTAGAAACAATAATGTGGCACATCTAAGAATGGCTTTCCGGAATACCACGGTAGTTACAAACTACACGTCCAAAAAACTATTACTTTAGAATCAGAACGTCTGCAAACTTCAGGAGCTTGACAGAGGGGTCTTTAGATGTGCAGTCGTTGGTGTACAGGGAGAAGAGCAGTGGAGAGAGAACACAACCTTATGTGTTTTATGACTTTTTATAAGTGATAGTTATAGATAGACATATGGTGCTGTAAATATATTTACAGATATTTACATGGCACTCCAAGGTACTTTAAATAATAACATTTCTTGGCACAGCAATAATGAAATGTCAATAAAAATGCATGGTTTCTTTTTTTTCACTAAAAATAGTTACTATTTTCAGTTGTACTTTCACCTTTACTCATTCAATATCTGATTGCTCATCCTACACTGTTGTTTCTCTTTTAGGGTGGCGATGTCCAGACTGGCTGTAGTGTTCGGGGGTTCGCGTGGCATTGGGCGAGCAGTTTCTCAGCTGTTAGCACAGAGGGGTCATAGGGTTGTGGTGTTGTCTAGGAATAAGGAGGCTGCTCAGGCTACAGCTGAATCTCTCCCTGGAGGTGAATCAGTGAATCACCATGAATCAGTCGGAATTACTTTGCATTGGTTTGCTGATGAAAAGTCTAACACTTCAGTTTGACAATGTAGACATCATACACTTCAGGGCTTTTAAAAAAATTTTTTTTTTTACCTAAATTGGAGTGTTGTGTATAGTATGTATCTATCGAACAGCACAAACAAAAGCCTTTTGTTACCAGTTGGGGCAATGATTGCAATTAAAAAAAAACAATCTTAAATAGATGTTATAATTCTGGAGTATATATTTAATTTCAGAAAAACATTTGGGTCTAAGCTGTGATGTCTCTAAAGAAGAAGACGTTCAGAAAGCATTTGAGACCATCAGTAAGACCTGTGGCACTGTGGGATACCTGGTTAATGCAGCTGGCATCAACAGGTCAGAAAAGCCACAAAGCTGTGTTGCAGAAAATGTGTTGTTGAATAAATATATCAGACAGATACCATAGCCAAAAGAGATGATGATAATAAAAATAGCAGATTTGTATGTAATAAATAAAAGACTGCTGCATTGTAATATATATTGCATGTGGGTTTGTTTTAAAGAGATGCATTGTTATTGAGGAGTAAATCTGAAGACATGCTGTCTGTTCTTCACACCAACCTGCTGGGCTCAATACTGACGTGCAGAGGCACTCTACGGAGCATGCTCAGTCACGGAGGAGCTATTGTCAACATAGGTGAGGCTTATTTCTGTATGTCCCATTACCTTATGATCTTCTTATATATTATTTCAATTCAATGTCATGAAGTTCAAGTTGGAGAAAAGGGGAAAAGTCTCCATGCATCAGCAGCTGGGCATTTTAGGTTCGTTAAATCACCACTAGATGGCGCGAAAGCTACAGATTTAAAATTGTTTCACTCTATGTCTGCATCATAATGTAGTTCTTACACTTTCAATGGAAACTGCATTGACTAGCCTATACTATAAAAAAAACTGCATCTGTGTTTTTTGTTGAGTATCATATTTGATATGTCTGGCTTTTATTGCTCATATTATAAGTATATTATGAAACTGGAGAATATGGAGCTTGTACTTGAGGAAGAAAAACACATCTCAAATTTTATTCAGAGGTCCAAACTGAGCAAAATATGCAATTTAGCAAATTTTATATAGCAAAAAAAGAGATGCAATTCTGATAGCTTGGAATTATGGAATTATACATTATATAATGTTAAAACATAATACAATGTAGTACAGAGATGACTGAGAGATGCACAAATAAATATTCCTCAGAAGCCTGATGTATCATAATTGGTACTTACATTTTAACATGATTTTGTTCTAAAAATTAAGTGGATCATCTAAGTTGCTTCAGTCCAATAAATGCTTGTCTTGAAATATTAAAAAAAATATATAGTATAACAATAATACAATTTATTCTTACGTTTACTTTATAAAAATCATTAAAGATTTCAAAAAGCACCGAAGAAGGACATTTTTAGAATTATACTAAAAGGGCTTTTACTTTCTAAAAAAGTAGAAACTATCAATCAGACGACAACAGATTTTCCATCAAAGTTTTGATTGTGTTGCTAATTTAGAGGCCAAATATGATACAGTAGGCTTTATATGTTTAATCACGTTTCCTCAGGCTCTGTGGTGGGTGTGAAGGGTAACTCTGGTCAGTGTGTGTACAGTGCCAGTAAAGCCGGACTGGAAGGATTCACATGCTCACTGGCGAAGGAAGTTGCTACCCGGAATATACGAGTGAACTTGGTGGCTCCAGGTTGTTTGTCCTACCATTTTCTTCTACTACTTCTTTTGCCTATTAATCTGCATATTAGCAGTCATATGAGTAACACTGAAAAATCGCTTCACTCTCCCCTCTCAGGATTCATTCGGACGGACATGACGGCAGGGCTGGAGAAGCAAGAAGCAGTGAGAAGAATTCCACTGGGCCGTTTTGGGGAACCTGCAGAGGTGGCCCAGGCTGTCCTTTTCCTCCTGGAGTCTCCTTATATCACAGGACAGGTTCTGCTCGTGGATGGAGGACTACAGCTGGCATTGTGATGATTTCTGCCAGCAAAGCATGTGAGCCGACTGCATATTTTTGCAATGCTGATAATATACAATAACTATTTACAGACTGCGTCAAATCTTGCTATTGTTAATCACCTCCTCATTGCTCTGTGGAATTCTGAGTCACACGTATCATTGTGTAAGAGCAGTTTTGGTCCATCTGGATTGGATTAAGGTTATTTTTAGTTCACTGGAGTTTTGGGGTTATGGCTGCATGTTCACAGGTCAATGTGTGGAGGACATGACTCGCTTTGTGTTGTCATGCTGAAAATAAGTATCCAAATAAGCTGTGCTACATTACACTTACAGATGAATTAAACCCCTAACTCATATAAAAATAATTTAAGAAAAATAAAATGGGTAGACTAAATTAAAATATATTCAATTCTGGCCTTTTCACCATCATAAAAACACAAATATGATACAGTAGGCTTTATATGTTTAATCACGTTTCCTCAGGCTCTGTGGTGGGTGTGAAGGGTAACTCTGGTCAGTGTGTGTACAGTGCCAGTAAAGCCGGACTGGAAGGATTCACATGCTCACTGGCGAAGGAAGTTGCTACCCGGAATATACGAGTGAACTTGGTGGCTCCAGGTTGTTTGTCCTACCATTTTCTTCTACTACTTCTTTTGCCTATTAATCTGCATATTAGCAGTCATATGAGTAACACTGAAAATTCGTTTCACTCTCCCCTCTCAGGATTCATTCGGACGGACATGACGGCAGGGCTGGAGAAGCAAGAAGCAGTGAGAAGAATTCCACTGGGCCATTTTGGGGAACCTGCAGAGGTGGCCCAGGCTGTCCTTTTCCTCCTGGAGTCTCCTTATATCACAGGACAGGTTCTGCTCGTGGATGGAGGACTACAGCTGGCATTGTGATGATTTCTGCCAGCAAAGCATGTGAGCCGACTGCATATTTTTGCAATGCTGATAATATACAATAACTATTTACAGACTGCGTCAAATCTTGCTATTGTTAATCACCTCCTCATTGCTCTGTGGAATTCTGAGTCACACGTATCATTGTGTAAGAGCAGTTTTGGTCCATCTGGATTGGATTAAGGTTATTTTTAGTTCACTGGAGTTTTGGGGTTATGGCTGCATGTTCACAGGTCAATGTGTGGAGGACATGACTCGCTTTGTGTTGTCATGCTGAAAATAAGTATCCAAATAAGCTGTGCTACATTACACTTACAGATGAATTAAACCCCTAACTCATATAAAAATAATTTAAGAAAAATAAAATGGGTAGACTAAATTAAAATATATTAAATTCTGGCCTTTTCACCATCATAAAAACACTAATTATCAAAAAAAAGCTCATTCATCTTTGAGAAATGTTTTTGCCAAGAGCAACTGGACTCAACCCAGACTCAGTCATTTCAGAGACATTTATTTATGTACTATTCATAAACCAGAAGAGAATAAGGAGAACAGTCTGTATACAGGCACAGGTTGGCTTGGAAAACCAAATACTGCAAGTAAGAAAAAACCTCCAAATATGTCTATTTAAAGGGAAAACAGCGGTGTAAGAAAAACAAACATATGCAAATCATAGGCTTATATGTGTGTATTGTTATGCTATATTGTTTTGTATATACGTTGCAACTGTGTGTGAGATGATGGCTAAACTATGTGAACTCCCAACTGAGTATTTGATACTCGACTGATCAAAGCAAATGTTGAAAGAACGCTAATATCTTTACAAATGCGTTACGAAGACGGAATATGTTTGAGTTACTTAAAAAGCCAATGAAATTGAAACAAATTTGTGCTGCCAGTATCCCATTTTTGCGTGTTTCTGTAATTTCAAAACTTGAAAACTGAAGCCTACCTGTCAAAGCATTACCATCTCATCATTACATGCACCATCAGCTTCAAAATCAGTAATCCTCATATAAATCTCGCCTTCATCCACAATCAGGCCACCCTCCATAAACATGCATGCGCCGATTCTGCTTCCTGTACTTCCATCATAGGCATTCCTCATCACTCTCGCTTCCACGGAAACACAACAAACATCTGTCCAAACCTGTCAGTCATCCAAAACTTGCAAAACTCTCATCACTCATGTTAATGACATATCAGTCTCCGCTTTTAATCTCTCCTAAAAAAGACAGGGTGGGAAAAGATCATTAAGGCCCGGCCTTGTGTGACATCTCTGGATTGGAGCCGAGATCCAGACGCGGCTTTTATCTATGGCAGAGTGCGTCTGAACAATATGCTGGATCTCAAGGACCCTGAAGCTCCATGGAGTTTTAGGTGTGTCCATCTTTCCACAGCCCTGTTCCCTACATCCAGAGAACCAGCCCCCCGCCAAACCACCCAAAAAAAGTCCTATTTCCTGTGCTGGAGAGGAAGACATTTCTTCCAGCGTTTCATAAATACATCTAATCTAAGGCATTATAACTAAATACATAAAAAGTGTTACATGTTGGCACCGTAGTAACATGCACAGCTAGATGATAGTTACTTGAATCGTTTTTTTTTTAAATTTTATTATTATTATTTTTAAATTTAATTTGAAAATTAAATATTTCTTAGGCACTTGTAAAATCTAGAGATGAAAAACAAGGTGATCATCGGTATACTACCTCCTTCCTCAAAGCACGTGCTGGTGTGTGTGTGTGTGTGTGTTAAGTGCGTCGGCGAACCATTAAGTCTGTATACAAGCAGGATATGACCTCACTTAATCACCCACATCACTTCCCCTCAGACAACAACTGAAATAAAAGCATAGTGAATGGTCCTCCTCAGGCGGAGAAGAAGTGATAATACCAAGAATCATAATCTGTGAGGAAATGCTTTGCAACTTCCTCCCTCACCATTCAAAGTCAATCGATCACTTTTTCATCCAACCCCAGCTAGAGGTGTTTATTGGGAAATGGGTGGGGATTATGGAGTACACTGGATCAAGGGATCGGGATTCCAAGGTCAGATCCTCCATGCTAGTCTCTACAGGTCGTCACTCTCCACTAGGGTGCCAGGAAGAGGAGGATTGGAGTCTGGGAAGAAGGCTGCCTTCACATCCAGACCTCGTTCTGTCAGAGCGGCGTAGCGGCTCGCTGATGGACGAACCTTCTTGAGCTTCGGAGTGTGAGTCTGCTGCCACTGGGCTGAGGGAAAGAAAGGGCGAGGATGAACATGGTTTCTCACTTTGAACAATTCAGAGGATGTAATATTGATGTCTAGATAATGAATGTAGTTCCTCAATTATGAAAACATATGGAGACTTAACTGTATAGCTTGGAAAGTTTAATTTAGGGTTACACAGTATACCAGGAAAAAAGTCAAATAAGTAATATATAAATAAACGGATAAATAAATATACAAAATGCAAGTCAGAGGGGGAAAATGTGATTCGAAAGGAGTTCAGACAATTTCATTATTCACATCCATGTTTGCCAACTGGAGCAAAGCAACTTAGTAGCTATTTTCTTTCTTAATTACAATATATGGAAAGTCTGGAATATTTGGATATTATATTTGGAAAATATGCTGAACATGCACTTCTAAGCCTGTATGATATGAAAGTTGTGCCTTGGATTTCATGTATACTTCCTTTATTTATATTCTGATTATATGCAAATATATAATGCATATACAACTGTCAATATGCATGATACAATGTTACCATATCACTTACTGATATTAGATCATTTATTTATCTGCCAATATTTTATATTTAACTCTGATCCACATTCAAACATCAAAATACTGTGATGCCTAAATTCACATGTAGCATTAAAAATGAATAATTTTAGCTTTTAGGGTTTTATTTTTAATATCTTAAGGCAACAGTATAGATCTTTAATATATATTTTTTATTAAATAATTAAGTTTTAATATTGGTAAATCAATTTTATATCAGTATTGGGGCATCAAAGCCGATAGTGTATCAAAGCCAAAAATGTTAGTGTTGAGCAAACTCTAGTTCCAATTCATTCCAGATTGGATGTGTTGAGTTTGAATCGAGGTATGATGAAGATCAGAACAATCAGTGTTAAATCACATCCCTTGTGTGATTAAAACCACTTTCATAAGACTCCAGCACACAGGCTGCCAGTCCATTGTTGGTTTAATGTTAGGTAATGCATCCATATTGTTAAGCCTGTTGTTGATGGCAAACACAGCACTGGCTAATTGCTATGGGATTGCTATGGGAACAACACTGGGCCGAGGAAGGGAGTGTGCTTTTATTGGACAGATTAAATTCAGTTTTGTTCTTAGGCTGAAGCAATTTATGCAAGCGCATTGATCAGATAAACCACTTAAAACTACTTGGTTTGTATTTAGTGTACTTTGGTCTTTTACCAATCATAACTCAGCATTGTTACACGCATTCTTCAGAGCCGTTTCCACTGTATTTGACTAACCATGTACGTCGAGACGTGCCGTACTGGAGATGATGCCAGCTTCGTTCTTGGCTGAAACCGTGTACCAGCCTGCGTCTTCCTTCAGAGCCGGCTGGATGATCATGCAGAGGTAACCAAAGTTGTCCTGGTGCATGCTGGGAAATAGAATTGAACATCAGAATGAGTAAGTGGCAACACTGTTTGCACTGAAACAAAGGATTATAATGAGATGCCTGGATTGTTTATTAAGGTTGCACGGGCATATTACTTTGATTTGAATCCTTATGAGCAAACCATGTTCACAAACAATGACTGGAGACTTTACAGCTTGTGACTAACTGCTCTCGTCTCTCTGAGGTGGTGTATAGACGGTAGCGCCTGTGGTGAGGTTACTTTGTGTGTTTCTTTTACAAGGGTCTTTTCATCGATACACACACATGTAGCAACTTTAAACACCAGGCTTCCAACAGCTGCCATATACAGGCTCTTTTTAAATGCATCTATGAGGTAAATAGTGTTTAACATGATATAATATAATAATACCCATTTAGCTAAATTGTTGCTTGGAATGGCTGTAGGAGGGCTTTGATTGGCCCAAGGTCTCCTACCTTATCCTGTCGGTGTTGTGAGTGAAGGACTCATTCTCTTTCTTCCAGAAGATCTGTGGGAATGGGACTCCAGACACACGGCACTCAAGGCGCACTGGGTGACCCTCAGCGACACTTGTGTTCTGGAGTTTCTCAATGAAGCATGGAGCTTTATGCATCTCTTTGGCTAAAAAAATTAAATACATAAATATATATTAAATTAATACAAATATATATGTAAAATTAAAATGGTAAAAAAAAAGTATTAGTTTGAAAATCTTTCCTATACAAATATATTTATACATATTAAAATGATCCAAATTATACATTCTTACCTGCATTTTACATAGATATGTTATAGTTGTTGTTTTTTTAAAGAAATTAATACTTGTATTCAGTAAGGACACATTTAAAAAGTTTTTGACATTTCTATTTCCGTTCTTTTGAACTTTTTGGGGAGGAAAAGTATCACAGTTTTAAGAAAATAAGCAGCATAACTGTTTTCAACATTGATGAAGAAATTAGTGTTTCTTGAACAACAAATCAGCATATTAGAATGATTTCTGAAGGATCATGTGACCCTGAAGACTGGAGTAATGATGCTGAAAATTCCGCTTTGCCATCACATAAATTACAATAAAAATACTAAAAATAGAAAAGTTATTTTAAATTGCAATAATATTTCAAAATATGACTGTTTTTATTGTATTTTTGATCAAATAACTGCAGCCTAGGTGAACATGAGACTTTCCCAAAAATCTTACCCATTTTATTTGTTCTTTTCACCAGAATGGCATGTATCTTATTCTTTCTATTATCTTCTTATTTGTATTTATATGTTACTATACATTACAAATTTTATTATTTATTACAAATTGAACTATGGTTGTGTAGAAGATGATAGTTATGTACCTGCAACAATGAGCTCTAGGTTGAATGAGTTCTGTCCAGCCCTGTTGCTGGCGATGGACTGGAGTAATGATGCTGAAAATTCCGCTTTGCCATCACATAAATTACAATAAAAATACTAATAAAATAGAAAAGTTATTTTAAATTGCAATAATATTTCAAAATATGACTGTTTTTATTGTATTTTTGATCAAATAACTGCAGCCTAGGTGAACATGAGACTTTTCCAAAAATCTTACCCATTTTATTTGTTCTTTTCACCAGAATGGCATGTATCTTATTCTTTCTATTATCTTCTTATTTTTATTTATATGTTATTATACATTACAAATTGTATTATTTATTACAAATTGAACTATGGTTGTGTAGAAGATGATAGTTATGTACCTGCAACAATGAGCTCTAGGTTGAATGAGTTCTGTCCAGCCCTGTTGCTGGCGATAAAACAATAAATTTATCTAACTTAAGGTACAGTAGGTGACATTAATTAAAATAAAGAAAAAACAGTTGTGCCTGTAATGTTTTTTTTTACATTACAAATGGGACACCAAAGAGCACCACATTTGTGGAGAAATCTTTTATTTAATACATTTTTTTTTTTTATGAAGACCTTACTTTGTGTAGTTTTAGAACTAAATGATAGGTTGGCACACAGCATTGCCTTGAGAAACTACTGACTCGGTCAATCAAACAAACATATAAAAACCTCAAAGACCTGAATGGCCAGATATATTATATTTAATCCAGAGGAAACCCCACCCTTTAAAAAAGATTCACATATTCTATTCTGCATAAAAGACATCTTAACTGGTCCTTGCATCATTGTCCAAAATATACAGGTGTGCTTTACATGGAACACGCCCTCTATTAGCGCTAGTCCATAAGAGCAAACCTGATACTGGACCTGCTGTAATCGGCTGTGTATGTTTAGAAACAGCAGTGCTTATATACCTGCGGATGTGTCCAGGTGTGGAGCGCTGACTTCTCCCCCTTTGGTTCACGGCCTGGACCATCATCCTTCCAGTACAACTCACTCTCCCCTAAGACAGAAAGACAGAAGATATAGAGAGAAACATCTGAGTAAAGAAACTGATGCCATCTGCTTTTCTTAGGGATAAGACGATGAAAGAAAAGTGACATGCATGACACATAACTATTTTGTGGTCAATTTAAGCTGGAATATGTCTAAATGTGTTTGAACTTCTGACCCTTCCAAAGGCTGTAGTAATTTTGTTGCATCTGGTCAGTCACTTCCCCCTGACTACCGATGTTTATCCGTCTCCACCACAACACTGGTCATGCTGACTAGCCACTTGAGAAAGTGTGTATATGTGAATGTGAGAAAAACAATCAAATCAGATCAAACTCTGATAAAAGGTATTATATATTTTTCGTAACTGACATGTTAACACATTCAGTTAAATTTTACTGGGAAAATAACTAACGATTGCAAAATTATGGCCTTCTGACTCATCTCCAATTTTCTGAGAAATGCATGTTCTGCTAGGGAATTTTGTGTTGCATGTGTAAGAATACAGAGAATTATTCCGTGTGAATCCATTGTTTCCATCTGTGTTTGAAAAATAAAACAAAATAAAAAAAATACAACTCAAAAAACAAAATAAAACAAAACCAACCAACCCAAACAAACCAAAACAGTGTATAATAATAATAATAATTAACATTAGGTTGCATACTTAGCAACTAATCTATGCATTCTTCTAAAATTAAACAAGACCAAACTGATTTATCCTTTTCAACATAAGAATGCTAAATAAAAAAAATACAACTCAAAAAACAAAATAAAACAAAACCAACCAACCCAAACAAACCAAAACAGTGTATAATAATAATAATAATAATTAACATTAGGTTGCATACTTAGCAACTAATCTATGCATTCTTCTAAAATTAAACAAGACCAAACTGATTTATCCTTTTCAACATAAGAATGCATAACTATGACAATATAATCATGTCCTGTTTATTATATTATATCTCACCGCTGGGTTGCCTGCCATAATGGTGTAGTTCCCATCATCATCTAGCGAGGCAGCCGCTGTGTGCAAAGAGCATGTGCCATCCGGATCACGACTGATACGGTAGTGTTCACTGCACTTCGAGATCTGCTTTCCGTCCTTAAACCAGTACACCTTCAAACACACACATATATAAATGGTTATGCAACACTCCAAAGCTTGTACCGTCATTTCTTTTTTTCTCTTCTTCATCACTTTAGTTATTAAGTCAGCTGTCATCACACAGTCATTACTGTGGTCTCATGGTAGTCAGAGAGAGTCACACAATGAAAGCGAGACAGCCATATATGGCAGAAATCTCAGAAGAGCAGAGCTTCTGATGAAACCAGCCTAGTCACAGATGATAAACCACCAATCCCATCATTCCAGTCACCTCTCCTACAATACCTTAGAACAACAAAATATTATCCTTACTGTGAACTGTGTCTCCAGAACAATATGCAGTATAAAACTATAGACTGTAATAAAAAAATGACATAAAAAAAAAACTAAGTAACTGGTGTATAACAGCTGATAAAAGCATCGCAATTATTCACAAGTAATCCACACAACTCCAGTCCATTAATTAATGTCTTGTGAAGTGAAAAGCTACGCGTTTGTAAGAAACAAATCCATCGAGGCATTTTAACTTCAAACCATCGCTTCTGGCAAAAATACCAGTCCATAATCCATAACACTTTCTCCAGTGAAAAGTCCATCTCCTGTTGTCCTCTCACATCAAAATCCACAAACATATTTATTTAGAACCATTTTGAACTCTTCTCACTTGTAAATGGTGCTTGATCTGTGCATATTTCTCTCCTGATTCAGACAAGACAACTTTTTCATTGGAGAAAATTGCATCTATCCTCTATCTATTATGGATAGAGGACTTGTGTTTTAGGCGGAGGCAATGGTTTAAATTAAAAAATTAAAAAAATAAAATCTTGATGAATTTATTGCAAACACACCTTTTTGCTTCACAAGATGTTAATTCACAGACTAGAGTGGTGTGGGTTACTGGATTATTGTGATGTTTTTATCAGCTGTTTGGACTCTCATTCTGACGGCACCCATTCACTGCAGAGGATTCATTAGTGAGCAAGTGATGTAAACGTAAATTTCTCCATATATGTTCTAATGAAGAAACAAAATCATCTACATCTTGGATAGCCTGAGGATAAGTAGATTTTCATTTCTGGGTGAACGATTCCTTTAATTAACTAACTGCTAAAATTATAGTAATAAACACAAAATTTGCTAAGAGAGCTAAACTGCATGGGTGGTGACCTCTCACCTTTGGCTTTGGGTCTCCGATGACCTTGCAGCTGAAGGTCACAGGCATTCCCTCGAAGACTTTGTAATGCTTGAGCTTCTGATCGAAGAACGGTGCAACCTCCCCGGGCGCATCTTCATCATGCTGAACGTCATCGTCAGATTCCTCCACAGGTGAGCGCTCCAGTCGAAACTCAATCTCGCTGATCAACCGCTGCTCGAAGCTGGACACTTTATACTCCTGTCACACAAACAAACACAAAGGTTTTAGCTTATGGCCTTCTCCTCAGCTTACCAACTCATTCAATCACTCATTTTATTCATTCAAGCACACATCTTCTCATCACTGTGTCCTATAATCTATGCGGTCTTGTATCCAACTCTTATTGCTCTTTCATCTGGCCTGTTTCTAGTCTTCTGTTTCCTTTTATTTCACTCTGCAGGCAGAGGGAACATCTGGAGAAAAGTGTGTGCTGATGACACATCACAACAATAATTGCAGGTTTAAGACACAGCTGCAGCAAGGAGAAAACACACCATCCTAACTATATATGTAGACAACGAATTTCATTCAAGCACACATCTTCTCATCACTGTGTCCTATAATCTATGCAGTCTTGTATCCAACTCTTATTGCTCTTTCATCTGGCCTGTTTCTAGTTTCTATCGCTAAACTACATAATTGACTGCTGTCCAAGGCAAACTACTGTATTATTTTACTCATTTTATTCATTCAAGCACACATCTTCTCATCACTGTGTCCTATAATCTATGCGGTCTTGTATCCAACTCTTATTGCTCTTTCATCTGGCCTGTTTCTAGTCTTCTGTTTCCTTTTATTTCACTCTGCAGGCAGAGGGAACATCTGGAGAAAAGTGTGTGCTGATGACACATCACAACAATAATTGCAGGTTTAAGACACAGCTGCAGCAAGGAGAAAACACACCATCCTAACTATATATGTAGACAACGAATGCACCCTCTCCATCTTGTTCTCTTGCACGTCCAGCCACATCCTCCCAAAAGCACACACGCATGCACATTTCCTATGCAAACACACAGACAACCGCTATTTGCCCAAGGATGTGTGTTGAGCGCCAAGCACACTTTAAATTTATTGCACAACATTAACAGCATCTCCACTTCCCACAGTTCAGAGGAAGAGAAGCATGTGCATTTTAGTGCCTCCACTCGAGGGTATGAAATGTGTATAGCAGACGCATGCGGTCTCTGATCAGTTAGTAATGAGACACATGATGATGTTAAGCAGCCAGCACAGTTTTTTCCCCACATTTTTTATTTTCATATGTTGATTGGCCATTTTGGTTGCCAAATATTTTTGTATAACAACAATCGCTAAACTACATAATTGACTGCTGTCCAAGGCAAACTACTGTATTATTTTTTTATGAAATTGGCAATTTCTTACAGCATAATTTCAACACATTCTATTTCATGTCCAACATTTTGGCAAGTATCTGTGTCATAACAAGTGGGGTAATGTGCAGTCAGTCATTATCACAAAATAAACCCCATCACCAGCAATTTGTTACAACAGCTAAAATACAATGAAGCATGTGGATAACATATTTCATTCTATAAAAATTAGCCGAGATCACATAGCCAACATATCCGAAATGTTTGGGGTAGGTAAGATTTTTTTTTTTTATGTTTAAAAAAGCATTTATTTGTGCCTGTATTTACAGCCTGGGTTTATTTGATCAAAAATACAGTAAAACAGCAATATTATGAAATATTGTTAGAATATAAAATAATGATCTTCTATTTGAATATATTTTCAAATGTAATTTATTCCTGTATTAGCCATGCTGAATTTTCAGCAGCCACTAGTCTTCTGCGTCACATGATCCTTCAGAATTTGGTGCTCAAGAAACATTTAATATGATTATTAATGTTGAAAACAGTTTAATATTACTTAATATTTTTGTGGAACCTGATAACTGACAAGGAACAAGATTCTGTGATGAATTGAAAATTCAAAAGAACAGCATTTATTTGAAATAAAAATCCTTTGTATCAATGTAAAAGTTTGTACTTTCACTTATTTCATGTGTCCATGATGAAATAAAGTATTTCTTTCTTTCAAAAACGATACTTTCTTCCAAATATTGGACCCTCCAGGAGTTTTGGTTCAATACAAATATTTAATACACTGCTTATTTGATCAGTAAGATTGCAGTGTAAATCTCTGTTTTTGATGATTTTCCCAGAGAGTACAATAGTCATCACGGTCATATTGCTGTCAAGGACTTTACCGCGGTGCTTAATCGGGACGCAAATATTCCATAAACGGAGACATCGAAGAAAACACAATCATATACAGTAGTGACCAAAACAGGGGGGTGACCACACACACACACACACACACACACACACACA